TGGAGGCCATCGCTAGTAGGTTGGAGGCCATCACTATTAGGTTGGAGACCATTACTATCAGGTTGGAGGCCATCGCTATTAGGTTGGAGGCCATCGCTAGTAGGTTGGAGGCCATCACTATCAGGTTGGAGGCCATTACTAGAGGTTGGAGGCCATCACTATTAGGTTGGAGGCCATTACTATCAGGTTGGAGGCCATCACTATTAGGTTGGAGGCCATTACTATCAGGTTGGAGGCCATCGCTAGTAGGTTGGAGGCCATCGCTAGGCCGTCGTTATTGGGACGAAAACGTCGCCGGAGGTGGCTGTCCAAGTACATCCCGATTTTGCCACCTTGGAGGCACCGTGAAAAACAAGAACAAACGACCCTCTCAGGTGACTTAAACGTTCCAAAAGAACGCCGCTGTGCTGGGATGTTCGGGTGCCCGGGTTCCCCAACCATCATCCCATTTCACTTCCTTACCATCCGGCATCTTCACAGTGCCAGGCTTATAGATCTTTACCTCAGCGATTCATCTTGATCTAATATCAGGTGTTGATATTCAACACACTTGATTACTTGATAATCTTAAAGATAGGAATATATCTGAACATCGAGTGATCGGCGATCATTAAGTGATCTCATCTTATGAAGTGAAACATGACTGTCGGTCAGCGGAACAAGTTCCATTCCCTTCCCAATTAAATAGGATGGCCTGTGACCAACATTGTTCAATGTGGATTCAATATGATTCAATGTTTGCCTGACTCAAACTGAGGAGGTGACAACTAAGTCTACATAGCCTGGCTGCTCATTGCCTGTGACCGGTGTGTACCTTGACAAAGAGGCAAACGTCAAAAAGAACTGCACAAAGGGTCCCGAGTCGATTCGGAGCCGGACTTTCGGAACCAAAAGTTAGCGAACGTCAAGAAGCGAAATTGGTTCATGAACCGAATGCAAACAAACGTCAATTTTCCAAACACAACCGAACCGAAAAGAAAAACGAAACGTTCCTCTCTGTTCCGAGGTCAATCAGCAAGGAACTTTGTGATGTTTTTCTCAGACTGTCCAAGGTCTTGGAGTTTCAGAGCAGCAGTCCCCCACTGGAATGCCCATACAGATGTCACTGGCGCAGCCCGGCTTCAGGCGCATTCACAAGTTGCTTTCCGTTCATTTCCTTGTCGTTTTTCTTCCCTTCTCTTTGCTTTCCTTTCCTGTATGCTTTTTAGGCTGCCTGGAAAAAAGCATATCCACAAATTGCATTCCTTACCTGTCCTTTTCCTTTTCTATTCCTTTTCTTTGCTTTCCCTTCCCTTCCTTTCCTTAAAATAATTGCCTTCCTTTCCTTTCCTTTTGGTTTCTCTTTTTCTCCTGTCCTGTCCTGTCTTGTCTACAGTCAAGTCTTGTCTTGTCTCTTTATCTTTGATTTTTTCTTTACCCCACTGACCCACTGCGTAACCTTTGCCTCACAGAACCGAAACGAACCGTGAACCGAACTGCAAGTCCATGAAAAAATACTTCTACAACCAAACCGAACCGAATCGAAGTTTCAATTAAACATTCCAACCGATTCCAACCGAATCGAAACCTTACTGAACTGGGCTAAAACAGTGTTCATGGCCCCAGTAACGGTGTGCGGGCCATTCACTTCCTTCTACCTCACCCCTTCCCTCCCTCTGACTGTACACACTCATAAGCACACTGCCGTCACTACCTCTCTCATACGCTCCAGACTCCACTCAGCATCTTTGCGACCTTCGCCGGTTCACGTTCACATGCCGTTCCACCAAGGTACTTCCGGTCAATCTCAGCTTTTCCCTTGTCAGGGTCCGGCCTCAAAGCTAATTGAAATGGCGCTGTGCATGGCCTCAATAAAACTGAGAACATGGCTTGCCATTCCAAGTGCCGGATGAAAGACACTGCGGCGGATTGGGTCCGTAGACCACAATGTGCTTGCCCACTGGAAGCCCTCCGACACTGCTGTTGCTTGATGGATCGAACTAAAGCTGTCCAATGTCAGCATGCAAAATATTCCTTGTTTTGAGAACTACAGAAATGGGACATGAAATGTCCACATCCAATCAGCAGGTTGTGTGAAGGTCACGATAGGACCTCTCACTCAAAACCTCTGCTAGACCCGATTCGCACTCACGTGGCCTAGAATTGTGCTCTTGCCGCCCAAGGACAATCGTATGCGCTTTGTGTCGTGTGACAGTTCAACAACATCAGCGACCTGCAGCAGGTGCAGGAAGTTGCTATGCGTGCCATGCACAGTCAACAATGAGGCTTTGAATGGGAACTTGTTGGATTAACAACTTTGGGAAAGGAAAGCGAAATTCACTGAATATTCCACAAAGCCATGTGCCACTCTCGCCTGTGCACGCTTGCGCTCGCTTCTAGTCAAGAAGACCTTTGGTGGCCTGCAATGGCTGTACCAGCTATCTCTGCAACATGGTGCCCCTTCAGATGTACAATGTACAGTATGGAGATGGAATAAATGTGGAGAACCCCTTCAGCTGGAACAACGGAACAACCCCAGCCTTGGCCAAAAGTATAGAAGCAGGGAGACCTTGGTGCAAGTATCGAGTATTCGCACGAGCTTTCGAACAGGACACACTGCCCAGCTGAGCCAAACACGCCAATTGCAAAACCCGCTGCAGGCAAAAGCAGCTTCAGCGTATCATTGCCATCCATGGCCTGCAATCTGCGCTTGACAAAGCCGTGATATGCTAGCCCAGTCGTTAAGGGTTGAGCTCAGCCTCTGCAAGTCCTTCTTGATGGTAAACGACAAGTGCAGTATGAAAGTAAACTCATCAAAGAACCAATGTCAATGCAGAATGCGACATGGTATATCTGTATAGAGTCAGTTACAAACCAATTGTTGACATGTCCTCTTTTGAATGTCTTTTGTTGACAAAACTTTGTCCGTCTTGGTCCGAAAACTGACATGCTGAGAGTCCCTGCGTAGATGAAAGACTATTTGTGAGTGTGTGAACTAGTCCTGATTGGCTTGGAGTGCCCCAAAGCAAGTGCTCCTTTTGCAGCTCTTTGCAGGGTTTTTGGAGCAAGTCAGCTTGTCAGAAACCCTTCACTTCTCCATGAAGTCCTTCCTGAAGAACAAAAGGTGCCAAAAATGAGAACAATGAAGCTTTCTTGCAGTCAGGTAGCACATTCTCCAGCCAACCTGGAGACAAACAAAATACCAAACAACAACTTGACTTCTCTTGTTACTACTAGCTTCTTGCTAGTAGTAATAAGGGAATTACTAGTAGCGATGCGCTTGCCCTTGTTGCTAGTAGCTTCTTGTCTTTTCATACCTTCTCAAAAATGTCAACCTTCGTGTGAGTACGTTGGCGCCGAGGCTCGGAGGTACTCGCGCTGCTCCTTGTCCAACGCCATGGCGTCGATGAAATCGCAGAGCTCCGCGTTGACGCCGGCCTTGGCGGTAGTAACAAGGGCATCGCTGCTGGTGGCAAGGGTATTACTTAGCTAGAATCTAGAAGCTACTAATAGCAAGAAGCTACTAGGGGCTCCTGGCATCGCTACTAGGGGCAAGGACGCTACTAGGGGCTTCTGGCCTTACTACTAGGAACAAGAAGCTACTAGTAGCAGGGATCCACGGAGGAAAGCACCAGACAGGATGAGCATTTGCGTTTCAGCTTCAGCGAGCGTTTGCTTTCCAAAGTGAGCGTTTCCATCGTCGACTCGCTCCGCTTCACTGACTTTGTTTCTTTCTTGGAAAACAACTCACATGATACTAGTAGCAAGGACGCTATTAGGTGGAGGCCATTGCTATTAATTATTAGGGTGGAGGTCATCGCTACTACGAGTTGTAACAAGAAGCTACATGTAGCAAGAAGCAATCACATGATGGGGGAAAAAAAGCAACTAGGGGCTCCTGGCATCGCTACTAGGGGCAAGGACGCTATTAGGGGCTCCTGGCCTTACTACTAGGAACAAGAAGCTACTAGTAGCAAGTAGCAAGTCTGAAACATCTGATCGAACGTCGCTACGCTACCCTCCAATCGAAAAGCTTTTGTGGAGGCCTCCGCCAATAGCTCGTCAAAGCTCTCCTGCAACTTTTCATCAACATCCTCAAATTCTGGGCCTTAGAGCAGCAAACCCTCAGCTGAATCTCAAAATGTTTGAAAAGAAGCCTTTGCGTTGCTGGCGAGACACCGTTGTAAGAGCTCACACTGTCTTTCTCCTTTAGCAACACGATTTCGCTTGCATCGTCAATTCGCATTGCTTCGAACCCGGTATAGCAGCCCCAAAAAATGTAAAAGAGCAGTGTCCAACAGAAAACTGAAGGGGACTCACTTTCCGTCTTCTCTTGTCTTTGGGAGTAGGAAACCGCCTGAACAGGCGAACAGCATCATGATCGATGTCAATGCTTCCAAATCTGGCCAACTATCTGTTGTCACATCTATGACCAACCATCAACCATTCCTCACCATACAGCTGGAAATGATGATCATTGCAGCTTGCAATATACTCAATATACAGCTCTTTTTGGGTGCTATCTTCTAAGAATAAAACAAACAAAAGGCTAAAGGGTCTTGC